TACTGACAAACACATTTTTGCTTTCTTTATCGAAGTAAAATCAAATCCAGTGTTTATTCTGGACATATAGAAAAAGCCATGAAAGATCACATCTCGTACCCTTCAGTCATGTTGTTTTCCCTAAGCAAATCCCTCCTGGGGACACACTGGTAATATGGGAGAGCCTTAAACTTTTCTGAACCGACTGCAACATAGTAGTGGTTGTTCTCCAGTTCAGTGGGACCGGAGACAGGGTGTCCGTTTAATGTGCAAAGCCTGAAAGCTCAAATAAAGAAAAACAACTCACTGCAGTAATGTTTAGTGATAGTTTCAGCTACGTCTTTGCCTGAATGAAATCTATTGAATACATCACAACCACACATGGTCTCGATCTCTAATTAATTGCAAAAGTCCCTCTACTCTCCTTCCCAAGTATCATTTTTTTGCATTTAAATTGACTGTAAAGTGTCCACTAATCACATTACGTTCTAAATTAGAAGGCAAGAGGAAAACAACCTTCACTGATACTCCAGTTAACTAGTTTAAAAATGATGTATGACTAAATGTCCTGACATTACCTGAAAACAGCACCCGTGCGAAGACGCACTTTCTCTGTCACCATAGCTAAAACGTTTTCCCAGCTTCTAAGGGTATACTTTGGGATCCGTATTCGAGCCGAAGGAACCAGCACTTCTCCGTTGGTGAAGACACTATGAAACAAAACACGACACACAAAGATCCATGAATAAATAAATGGAATTGTTTCTTGCATTGCACAGCACGGCAGAGAACATTATTCTTTTAACACCGTGGAAAAATATGTATGCAGTTTAAAATCAATACTCACTTTATTGTGCAAGACTCATCAGCAGTTCTCTTCCAGCGGGCAGAAACTACTATCCTGCTGTGAACAACAGGTTGGATCTGAAAATTTCATAAAGGAGGAACTGAGTGGGGGGTTTTTTTCAGCACGTCACTCAAAATCTAATCTTATGTGTCTCGACAGGACCTTCATGAGCAACTTAGATTTTAAGGATGGCATCAGCATTCAGACAGAATGGTTAAACTTAAAACAAGGACACATGAAAAAAGTTTCACTATAACTGACCACACACACAAAACATTGCTCCTACCTGTTCTTTTTTCTTATTCTGTGGCTTCTTGGCTGCTATTTCACAATAACTTGAAGGCAATAAAAAAATCAAATTACCTTTAGGTACAAGGAAACTTATGCAAGGATGTGGGTGTAAGGCATCTTTAGATCTGATAAAACTAATTGAAATCAAATAGTTATATATGTAAAAGTATGCTCAAGATCAGTGCTCTGCTGACTAGACTAAAATACTGGGTCCAAAAGATCACATTTAAAGACAGATTAGACTTTATTTAAGATAAGCTGACATATTCAGAGCGTTTTAATGAATATTAAGTACCAGCCTAGTCAAATTCCCTTGCCAACAAATGAAGCTAAAGAAAAAACCTGTAGATTCCAGTATATACAAGTAAACTCAGACAGGACACCCCTAAAACATGACACTTACTTCAGTTTCTTGAACGCCTCATTTCCGGCCGCGACATACTCACTCCCGTGCTGAAGGTCATCCAGATGGTGAACTTGGTGGCCTTGTGTGGCGGTGTAGAGCCTCCTCACAGCGCCAAAAGGTGCTTCAATCCCTTTGGTCAGAGATGTCAAAAAGTTGTCAAAGTATGGCACGTACCGCGGATTCACAACTACTTTCCTGCCGGGAAAATAGGCATCTCCGTTCCTGTAGACGACGATTATTTTTGTAGGTGGCAAGTCACTTCTCCCTGTTGTGCTGGGCATACTTGTGTTAGCTAATGGGAACGATTTCAAACAACAAACAGCGGTGGCCCTTGGTGTCAGAAGTTAATGTGTCAGCTCTGTTGGCCTCCGGAGACGTAACTGGAGACAGCTTCTCAGTTCTTCCACATGAGAGGTGTAGTATTAAGATACGTATCCACGTCTCTGTCGTGTCTTCTATTGTGTAGCTAAGGTTAATTTAGTGTTCGATACCAAACCTCTGGTGCTACCAAGGCAACCAGTGGGGTGACCCCAGTGGGTTTTACATATTTAGCTAAACCGCTCATAGGTCTGTATTAAAAAACAAACAAACTCATTTTTAATTTTCATTACCAGCTGGCTGATTCAATCTCATGGTATTTAACGAGAAACTAATTGACAGAACACAGCGGTGAATTTCATTGCTTAATAAATTTATTAGGCCACTACCCAATGTAAAGTACGCTGTAACAAAGCATATGTCGTTTATTTTTTATTATTGTTATTATCTTCATTTTTTTAGATCCCAAATTGCTGTTATTTACTTTCATTCCTGAACAGACAGAAATGTTATGGTGAATTCAATTCAGTACTTTTTAGCTTTAAACGTGTTTTCAACACATTTCTATTTTCCCCCTTTTTTTCTTACGTTTATGGCATATTATAAATGGGAGTAACTGCGGGTTCGGAATCTTGCCCAAGGATACTTTGGCATGCATAATAACTTTTTTAAGCACTGTACATCCTTTTGGGATGCAGTTTTTTCCCAGGTTTAATCCGCTAATATAAAACACATTTACTGTTTGACTCCAATCTTCTCTCAGTGTTTATTTATATACACTCATAACATATGTAAATGTTGAAAATAATGAAATCTACACATATTCTGTCTGACAAAGCAACTTAAGCTACTATAGATCTTTCCTCATGATCCATGCCATATGGTTTACCATTTATGCCCTCCTCCAAAATCTATTGTAAGTGTATAACGGTGATAATAAATATAATAGAAAGCCAAAGAAGTGTATTCTTTTTTGAAGAAAACATGTATCCCATTCAAATTTTTGACAGACTCCTATTGTATATTACAACTGTAGCAGAGTGGCTGCAGCCCCTTCACTTTTAGACAGAGCTGTCCAAACTGTTTACTACAAAGGTAACCAGAGATTGCTGCAACAATGGCACTTAATTGGTTTATGGCGGACAACTCCTGGTCAATTAAATACATAATTCATCTCAGCATTAATTATTCATTTCTTAAGGGACTGGTGTTCTGCTTTATTAGGAGAAATGCATCATGCATATTCAAATTCCTCTTCTTAGAGGGATGCAATAGGATATCATCTCAGCTGGGACACCCATCCTAAAACAATAGCTGCCAGGGCCACAAGACATCTCCTATTAGTCACACAACCAAACCGTTGGAGGATTTTCAAAGATGAAAATGTCAAACTAATCTAAGGTATGTTATATCTTGTTTCTGTCATTCAGCAAACAATAGGCTGTCATATTATTGTCATGTGTAATCTGTTATTTTTATTTTAAACTTTAGGTGGCAAATTATTTTTATATTAAAAAAACCTGACAGCATTAATTTAACACTACAAATCGAGAATATGTCAATGTGCTTAGTATGTGATCAGGTTTTAGTCATTGCATCAAATGGTTTTCAGAATTTTATGCAAAGTCATAAAAGTCTCCAGCAATTAGTTCTTATCAGTTCTTAGCCAGGATACATGTCGTAGGGTAACTGTGATTCAAATTGTGCTTAGCCAAAGTGTGATATGTCATGTCAGGAATCAAGGGGAAGCAGTGGGTGAGTTTCCTTTGGCGCTCTTAAAGGTCAGTGCCATCCATTTTAAAACTCCCATTTATTACAGCACACTAAGGTGCAGAGTGAATGTTATAAAGATGTAAGGTGACTCTGGTGTAATTGCATTGCTCGCTGGATAATACATGAGAACCTTACCGTGTTCACTCGTTAGGATGTTTGCATACTTCAGAAGGACATTGTCGCAATGATTTGACTTTGATATGATTCATGTTTAACATATTTAGCACATATACCAATTACTGCTTGGTATTTATGCAGTGCTACAGAACAGCCTAAAATCAACCTAATAGAAGAACAACTGTAAACATTAAAATTAATGAATTTCCTGGCTTCTGCACTTTTAGCATGACAGTTATTGTTTTTTTGTAACACCTGTGCTTTCCTTAACATAACAGATAAAATGTGGAGCAGCCACTGACTTCAGTCCCCTGTAAGGGATTTTTGCTGTAAGATGAGCTTTCGCCCACTGGGTGGCGATGGTCCATGTGGAAATTACAACAGAAAAGTAATTATTTTGTTATTTTACAATAATATAAAATGGGTCACTTTAATGATTAAAACATAATGTAAGCCATATAAGTATTTTGCGACATGCATGTATACATGTTCATGGTCGCCAGTCTATTGCAGGGCTAACTCACAGAGACAAATAGCTGTTCACACTCACATCTGACCAATTCAGAACCAGCAGTTAAACTAGCATGCACGTCGTTGGACTGTGGGAGGAAGCCTGGACACCAAGAGCCCAACTTCTGCACACAGAAGCCAGCCAGTGGATTCAAACCGAGAACCTTGTTTCTGTGAGGTAGTAGTGTTAACTCCTGCAGCTTTGTGTTGCATCATTTATCGTATATTTCTTCCATAAGTTTGCTTTAACTGCTGCAGTAAATAAGCGCAACTAGTTCAAGAGCAAAAACTAATGTGCAAAAAATTATTTTTAAACTATGTATAAATGTTTATTGCACAGCACATGAATGTGGAATGCATGCTGTATTCTGTTCCTCTGATTAAATTCACTCAACTGGAATGTCTTTTAATTGTATTTTTTTTTCTACACAATCCACAGCTCTCTATATTTGCTTATTTACACTGTTTGTCTATCGTACTGCTACAAATATTGCTCAGTGGATTTTCTGAATTAAATAAAAACTCAGTTCCTGGCATGCTTTTGGAAACACTAATTTATTTCAGTATGTATCAAGGACGTAAAAAAAAATATTACAAACATTTGGATATTTTGTATGTTCAGAAAATAAATAGCTTATTAGCTCATAAGCAAAAAGGAAGTTGAAAGTATACTACTTTGCACAACTTGCGTATCATTTCGTATTCATATTTACAGATAGAGGATACAGCAAAATAATAAGATTACAGTTTTTGCTCCATTACATTTGTCCAGTCTGCAGTCTGTTTAACATATACTGGCCTCAGATGTTGTCCTTGTCAAATTCACAAACAAAATACATTGTCGGGTGGCACGCCACATCAGTCCACTCCCCAGAGGTCACCATCTCAGCACAGTCCTCATCATCATAGGCATTGTTGGGTTCTCCTTTTCTCCATTTGCTGAAAGTGGTCATGGGAGAGTGATCTACGTAGGTGAAAACACCTTCGCGCTCGAGGTCATGAATGCCAATGTAAACTCTGCTCAGGCCAGCGTCGGTTATGTACCCTGCGATGGCTGCGTTTGCTCCCTCATCCTTCGGCATGACCAGGTGCCCTCCCCTCGTCTGGCAGTAGCCCTCAGCCTCGGTGTAGCGCTTCGCTTCCTTCACCAACAGATAGACTTTACTGTCTGTTTCCTTAATGCCAGCAACAGCTGCAGGGGAGGGCAGTGCTGAAAAATGAGCACTTGTATTTCTATAAATTTCACATTGACATGCCCGCATTTTCAATTCTATAGGACAGGAAATCAGCAAAATACCAAAACTGATAAATATTTTTTTAAAAATACAAAAGCATTTTTAAAGACTGCAAATCTTTTACCATTTTTAATGAATTTTAGTTCTGAGGAAAGCTGAGCCACAAGAATGTCCATTTCTCCAATCATCCTTCTAATTGGCGCACACTCACAGGGAACCCCTGATAAGGCAAAAATGTGTGGGACTATCACAAAGTTGACTTTATTCATTTACAGATGTGTCTGTCTAATCCTGCTGCCATCTGTTTGACAAACAAAATAAGATGGTTTTAGAACCCACCTGGCTCTCCGTCTGGGCCCCTTGTACCAGGGTCACCTGGATCTCCCTTGGATCCTGCGTCAGAGATGTAAATATTTATCAATCATAAAAACACACTAAACAAATAATTGATGCATTCCTGAAAAAGTGTGCAGACAGTACATCTCTGCTTCTTATAGCACCTTTCATTCCACTTGGGCCAACTTTTCCATAACGTCCCATAATGCCTTTGTGTCCTTTGACCCCAGGTGGACCTAAAAAGAATGCAACATGAGTAAATTGTTCATATGAAGATAGAGACATACTGTATATCTTATAGTCAAGACAAACTTAAAACAGCAGAAATGAAAGCAAAATTATATATATTAAACAATAAATCTTTACTTTCACTAAAGGTTAATTAATTAAAATGATGAATATGCTTCAGAGAACACCCTTCACTCCTCATTAAGGTCTTCCATAAACACTTGTCCACAGCTCTGGATTCCACAAACCATTTCTCATTTGACCTCTTACCCTAATATAAACACTTGACCATTTCTGGATGGCCTGGTAGTGATGTAACGGCACATTATCAGCCCGAGAAATGTGATCTTTACCCCAGTTTTTCTTGTATTAGTGGTAGTAATGAGAAAATGAGGAGATCTATAAATGTGGGCATGTGGAAAATATTCTCTCTTTAAAGATTTGCATTTTAGGGGAATGCACTTTTACTCACAAAACAAACAAACACATTCTATAATTTATTTTTTTGGTGCAACTGCATAAAATATACCAGTCTCCCCTGGCGGACCAACTCTTCCTGGTCTCCCAGGTGCTCCCTTTTGTCCTTTTTCTCCGGGTTCTCCTTTTAGAGCAGAAGAAAAACAATTATTATATCAGATAGAGTCTATTCTTGGTTTTTAAGGTGTCTGGTATGCATTTTGTAAGAAAGAACAAAGAGCTACATGCCTTTGAGTCCAGGGACAAGGATCTGAACAGTGCAAGACTCCTCTGGCAAGTGTTGTCCATATGATGTCTGCATTGGTAATAAACTCATCACTACAGACATTAGTATCATTGGCAGTAACAGTTTCTCACCGGGCATTCTTCTACATGGGATGATTAGGGGGCTATGCTGGAGAAACAAAACAATTTAAGGAAATGCTAATATAAAAAAATCATTCATAAAAAGCAAGGCTTGGTTTATATGTATCTGTATATTTCAGAATTAAAATAGTGGAATTAGAAGTGAGAATTTCCTTCCACTGAAAATAAATAAAAAAGAGACTGCAAAGCCGCATTTAGAACTACATTTGCATAAACCAAGTACACACACACAGCTTTTTAGTAACTCTAAGAAAGCGTTTTTACTTGAAAACTATACAGTATTTCAAAATCGGAAACGCCTACCTTTAGAAGTATTTTCCAGACAGAAGTAAAAAAGTAATGCCGATGGCCAAAGATTTGCAGGAGCTTTGAGTGCTGGTGGTCCTACAAGAGCATTTCATGTTCCTCTACACAGGCACCACAGAATGCGTGTGATAGGACTTTTGTAAACAGTTCACAGATAAACTCCAAAGCATTTGGGCTCCCCACAGATAATTAGCTGGGAAAGCGGTCAAGAGATTGACAGCAAAGAGGCCTGATAAATATACTGACTCAACTTTTTAATGCTATCAGATAATTGGGAGAGTTAAATATATAATGCATTTTACAGAGCTAGCATGCACATTGATTTAGTAACAAGGTAGCATCTATTATTTTAGCAAGTCGCTGTAGTATTTTGGTTTGTATGACAAACCAGTAGTGGTGATTATCATTACATATGCTGTGGTCCATATGAAATGGTTACAAGGAGAGTTGTTTTTTATGTTATGTCTATCATATGATGTTATTTATTTAACATTAAGGATTTAAATCAAAGGTGTAAAACATAAGGCTCGGGGGGCACATTCGGCCCAGGAAAGACTCCAATCTGGCCTGCTAGAGAGCTTTGGAAAATGTGAGAGAGGGCATCGATTTCTACGTTTTTACTGTTTTGTCATTGCTTTTACAGTTTTTCCTACTGATAAAGAGCTCTCCCATCGCTAACCATACTATACCAGAGTAATTAAATAATTGATTAAAAAAATAACAGTTAAAACACAGAAGAGTGCCTGATTTTTCACTAGCTGCTGTAAATTTCTATGTTTTGCAGTGAGTCAACTATTTTGTGAATTTCTGTGAATTACTCTTCTATTATTGTAATTACTACCATATTTTTTTCTGTAACATTATACATGTCTTTATTTGTGTGGACAGATTTCTTTCATTTACTACAGCAATCTCTTTATCCTGTAGCAAAATTGAGACAGCCGTTAACTGTTTAATGTATGTGGCCCATGATGCAAAATGAGTTTGACCTCCCTAAATTAAATTGTTTAAATAACTTAACAAATAATTTCATAAAATAACAACGAAAAAGTATCAAAATAAAAACACTATTTTTTAACACAGAAAACGTTGAGTCCTCACCTTCTACAAAAACCTTCCTTTAGCTTCAGTGGAGGATTTCACTTTATGCCATGCATTCTTTCTATAAGTATACCAAGTTCCATTCACTACACATTTCCTACAAGCATGTGGGTTTGAAATTATTGTTTATTTGTGTTTTGCTTAACTCTGTGCTCCTTGGTGTCTCTATTGCTCTCATTTCCTCCAGTGTGCACTGGGATTCTCGCCATCATGAACCTTCTAGTGCATCCCTTCCATGTGAACTGTAATTACATGGGATATGGTTGCTTATATGCCATATGAGCACATGGGGGAGACATTGTCCATCAGGCAAAGCAGTAAAGCACCGTGTTCTGGATCTTTAATATAAAAGCTAACCAGACCATTTACTTTTTTTAGTGTGCTATTCATCAGTCAATATAACATTGCGTTAAATCACACATGATCAAATTCATTAACTGTCTTAACTGGCTCCAAAGTGGTTGGATACAAAAAAAGGTAAGAGTTTTGTAGATTGGTGTTGATCTGGGGGCTTTAAAAATAAAAGCTACATTTTAGTGCTTGCTGTCAACTACTGTCCGTAATCAGATATGATCCAGTACTGGCGTATCAGGTGTCCTAATTAGATTTACAAACCGAGTGGCAGCCTGTGTTTCAGTTGTGGATTGGATGTCTCCTTCAAAAATCCCCCCAAAAGTTTCAGATTACCTGCCACTCAAATATTCATGAAGCTCGAGGCAACATTTGCAGTCTTTTCTTCGCAGCCACGTGCTCTCTGCTAATCCTCTGTTATTTTTATAAGGATGACAGACCAAACAAATAGCCCATCAATTAGTGAAATAAAATACCTACATTCAGACACTCAAACATTGCATATTTAAAATTCTCCAAACCCATGTGGTGATGTAACATGTTGAAACTTGTGATTGTTTATACGGAACTATTTTTTTAATGAGATTCACATGCATTAATACATTGATGGAAAACAATTCGAATATAAAAAGTATTAAGTGATATAACTGAAATTATTCACACTCACGATCGCCGACCTGAGCTGTTTTTGTTTAGATTTTTACAATATGAGTGGCTTTTTAATGTTTAGTTATCAGTATAAACCATAAGCCAAAAATAAAAACGTCACAGGATCTTACGAGGGACACTTTAACGCACCTTTCGCGGTGAGGGTGACGTCACCGGTGTTCACCGGAGCTCGAGCGTAGCCTGTCACCCAGACAGCCCGCTGCTACCTCATCCGTCCTGCTGCAGGAAGAAACACCGACAAAGCTGGAAAGCTGGACCAGTGCTGCACACATACAACCGAATGAGGAGCATAAAACGTCTTACTGTCACCGTGAACGTAAATTCAACTGCTTGAAGGATTTCACTTGTAAGTGTGTGGTTGTTTTTTTGTCTACCTGTTACGCTTTTTAAATTTTTATTCCAAATAGCTAACGTTGCAAGTATTTTGAAGTACTTTGTCTGATTTAAGAGCAATTTAGGAACTGAGTTTTCTGTGGGCTTCTGTTTAAACCTGTACTTTTGACTTACTTCCACTGGTGTACTGTTTGGTGTCTTGGTGCAGTAGTCGTGACTTATTATAAGGTGCTTTGTTCCATAAGTTTCTTTGAAAAAGTTATTTGGGGTTAATCGTAATTATGAAAACCTCATTTTAAGGTTGTCTCCAGTAATCACAACAGCCGACAGTTTAGCCCACATCTCGTTTCTGCTTGATTGCTATCAGGAAATTCTGTCCTAGATATTTCTCCTCTACATAATTTAGCCGTGATGCGTTTAAAGTGTCCTCACGGGATTAACAACAGTAAACCAGGATTCTTTATTCTTATGTATTTATTTATTTTATTTTACAATTTCTTTCTCTGACATGTCACTTTTCATTCAAATGTAGGCACACCACTTAAACTAAATGCTTTCTTGGCATGCACTTCTGAAAGTGTACCCTGTGTTGTGTGTGCATCTTTCATCCTGTTGCTCTGTAGCCATCGTCCAATGCTTTTTCCATGCCTCCCTTCCCTGAGAGAGAACCGGAAACAGGAGGCAGGAAACACGAGGGGTGTTTCACCGCGTACTGCTTTGACTCTCAAGCAGTGTTCATTTGTGTGGGAGTGTGTGTATATATATTTGTGTGTGTGTTTTCATATTTCCTCCTCTCCGTACTTTCTGGCTCTCTGTTTCACTGGATATGTGACACCCTTCTGATTTGCATTGTCTCAAACCTGCTCACTGACTTTTATTTGTGAGGTTTACATCTCACTTCAGGCGTCTCACCTCTCTGTCTGGATTAGGGTCAGATACTAAGAGGATTTGAGGCTGCAGAGTCAAAGTTACTCATGAGGGGCTGGTCTCAGTTTTGTTGTACGCAGCCAAGGATGCAGACAGTTTGGAGGGCTCTTCTAAAAGAGCCCAATATAACGCCCTTTATAATGAATGGAACTTGGCTTATAGAATGTTCTGGCAAAGTACGGTTAATTTTATTGTGGTTTTCCAGTATGCAAAGTCTTTCCGCTATAGCAAAATACATGTAGCCATTTAAGCTTTCCGTGTTCATGAACCATTCAAGTGACTGAATTTCATTTGTGAACAAACTGTGAATTTATGTGTGAACAAACTGTAAATTAACTTGAAAGGAACTGTGGGATAGTTATGTGGTTATCAGTTATCTAACAAAAACAATCTTTAGGATTCCCTCGAGCCTTGATCTCACACTTGAAGGTTAGAGATAATAGACCGGGAATGTCATTGTGCGTTTTTCTTCTGCTTATGTTAGAATGTGATTTTCTATCTATCTATCAATTTATCTATTGAGATAGATATTTAAGATACAACTAGGACACTAAGATAGATCTATCTACCCATCCTAGTACCTGACCTGCTACCTGACTTTAATGGTGCAGAGTCTTTGCTGTTATGAATTCCGATGGTTACATTTAGGAGTTTGATGGAACATTTATCCTTTGATATATGAACTCTTTCCTTTGCTGGTCTGAGCGCCTACTTTGGACAAAGACATCTACTGTTGAAAGTTTAGTATTCCTCTATAAATATAAATAGATAGGCCACATAACAATAAACTGAGATAACAGCATGTCTTTTTCTTCAATGCCTTTCATTATCTGTGGCAGCAGATTGTTTAAAAATGTAGAATATGCACTTTATTATACATAGCCAGACAGTGGATGTATGTGTATTTTAATGGCCTTAGCAGTTTAGCCATGTGTGTTTCCTCAACCAGTGTAGTTGTGTTTAGAAATCAACCTCATGCACTTCCCAGACATAAACGTACTGACCTGAAGGGAAATGCGTTTAATAATAAAGGAGTAAAACTGTGATCTTTGGTCCTTCATTGCTATTGTCATGT